ACAAGTGATTGGGAACTCTATTATAAACTCCGCTTGAAGAAATTTGGGGCGGCACTTAATTTTAACACGTTTCTGTGAACAAGCGGGAAGCTGCTAATGCATTTTGTCTTACCTCGCCGTAATTAAAAATTTTGAACATTTGTTATACACTTTTTGGTGATGTTATTTTTATTTTTAATTATATCCTCAAAGATGGTGTATCTATCACAGTCCCCCGTTTTGAAAATTTAAGAATAAAGCAACAAATAAAGCAACAGAGAGAGTTCTGTTGTAGGGAATTATTCCTTTCTTGCGCTCGGCGACTGCTTCCTTATTTTAATGGCAGCGGCGGTTTTTACCGGCTATGTTACTCAATTCGGGCGAAGTGCTTGCTTTTTGAAAACTCCAGTCGTTCCACGATTGTCCTTTGTTACATGATTTTAAGTTTCTTTATTCGGCAATTATGCCGACGGGTAAAAACGACTAAGCGCCTCCATCCTTTCATTGTTGGAGGCAAACTTATTAAAACATGAATTGTATGTAATCTGTTTGGGTTTAAGTAGATTAAATAAGGGGCATTGTAAGGATACCCTGGATTTTTTTTAAATTAATAATAAAATAAGGCTCATGGAATATTTAAACTTTTTCTGGGGTCGAGCTTTTCTGGATCAATGAAAATTTAATTAGGGTTCATTTACCTGTACAATGCTTTCCCTCTGGATATACTGAAGACAGAAAATGTGTAATCAAAGCGGAATCGAAACACGAGAGCATTGTTGTAAAAGTAAAGGTGATACAGTGAACAATTTTTTCTTATTCTCAACTATTCTTTTCTTTATTTGAACCTCTACCACTTCTGTGACAACATAAATCTATTCATATTTTTGTTGGTTGTGGGTTGGCAATTAAATTTTGGTAACACTAAAAATTACTGAAACAATGAGACCAATATTATTCTAAAACACAACACTTTACTTCACCCGGTGATTTGCAGTAAAACGATAAAAAATAAAATCTAGCGCCTGGCCATAAAGATACACTACACTGAAGGAGAAAAAATTTATTACCCGTATTAGCTCTAATGGCAAAATAAAATTTTATGTGCGGTAACCGGAATCGTGTTGGGCGCCGCGTATTCACGGCTATATAAGTATAGGCAAAATGAGGCTTTAAATTTCCGAGTTAATTGCCAATATGAGTACATGAGGAACAATAAACATCAAATCCGAAATATGACTGGGAATTAACGGAAGTGGTTCGTATTGCGCGATTGTGTTCCTATCCCGCCCAGATGTGGAAAATTATACGGGGATATTAGGATTAGAAGACCGGTTGCGGTGCTATTAGACTTATATTTAATCGTCCGGAAACTGCCGATTTACCAAGATAACTATGTTTGGTTTCGTGCTTAATTGTAATTAGTTTAATTCCATTTTAGGGACATATGACGCGACGCATCACATTATACGCAAACAATTTGGAATAATACGGCAGAATTTTAGAAGCAGACTGCTAGGAGAGTGTTCTTCTGCGTATTTTGAACCCCCCAAAAAATAGAAAAAATATATCATTAAGTTTTGACTCACTGTATGTATACACGCAAAAAAATAAATGTACATTTGATTTTAAGGTATCGCCCGTTTATATATACGCAAAAAAATATTTTCTTCTTTCCATAAAATTATTTATTTAAATACTTTAAATTTCTACCCAGAAATATAATTTCTTACTTAAAAAATAGGCACCATTTAAAATAAATATTTGATACTTACGGTTAAACGAATTCTATTCTTAATTTTATGATCTACATAGACTTTATAGAAACATGTTTTATATTGTATATTAAATGTAACATTTGTTTAATACAAAATTGAATAGTTTTGGTCAAATGATTGTATACAACTTATTTTAAGAATATATTTGGATATAAATATTTCACAGTAATAAGAAATATTTTGATTCAAAAACACCTAGTACAACAGCTAAGATCGTTCGTAAGTTTAACCAACCAGACATAGATCGGTTTGGGACTTATTGATGGTCCTCATCATTATGTCGTTAAAACGATCCAGTGCTTTAGTGTCGTTATTCCCAAGGAGGTGTGTATACACAGAGCGTAAGTGGCTCCATCTATCTTGCTACTTCCTACCTACGTAATTCTGTGACCTGCTACAAATTTCTTTCAAGAAAACATAAGTTTGATTATAATATGCCACATTTGTCTGAATAATTCATACATTAATAATTCCATTTAAAACTATCTGCTCATTTGATCCAAATACTTTTTTTTCAGTGTGGAAAAAATATGTATTAAAAATTTACAAAATTGTTGTTATTGCCTGTTGGCTTTAATTTATATTTATAGAAAATAACTACGATTTGTGGTAATATATTTTATTTAGCATTATTATAAATTTATTAAATTCACTGTCTTGTTAGAGGATACATACAGGGTGTCTCAGTTTTAATGAGACTTCGGAAGCAGATAGTACAAAGAAAAAGGACATTGTCATATAAATTTATTTTGAAAACTCAACCGTTTTCTAGATACAGTATTAACAGTTAAAAAAATAATTTACAGTAAATATCTTCTGAAATAATAAAGGTATTTGAATTAAATTTTTCTGTATTGGATCAAGTTTTCATAAAATGCTGTAATATCAAGACTTTTGCGCAACCAGTGGCAGAGATATGGGAAACTCGACTATTTTATAAAAAAAACATACTACCTACGACCCCGTGCAAAATAATAGTTGATTATATTTTCTGATAAAGCATGACAACGGGAACAAAAAATACCTCTTTCTTGTGGATATTTGTCTTTCCTTTCAAATTAGCTTTTATTAGTAAATTTCTATGTAGTGTCACTGTTAAATATGTTTTATCTTTAAACAATCCAAGAGTTTTTTGTTCTTGTTCTTAGAAATACATTATTTCCATCGTCAGATAGTGTGTCTATATATTTCGTATACCTATGTTATTAATATGCTGTGTATAAAAAAATATTTCGAGTTCAATTATTTCTCATAGCGATTCGGACAAATATGGATTACTGATAAATCATGGGCCTTGTTAATTAAATAAAAACACGGCAGGGGCGTTTCAAGCTTTTGTTAACAACCTTTAATTATCCCATTAAACTGAGTTCATAATTGTATGTAGATTTTTTCACAACGTTAATAACGTAGAACTTGTAATCAGCATAGGAACGACTGCTTTATATTTTAGATCTAATTATATCATCACAACGATTCTGATTAATTACCTTGGCGCCACTTTTGTATTTTAAGGACGTTTTTATAACCAATTAAATTATGAGGAGGAGCCTCGGTTATCGTTAAGACTGGTAATGTTTCGACAACGGACGTCCAATGCCACCCAACAACAATCACTGATAGAGCAGACTCGGATTCTAAAGCGACGCTGTTTAATTTTTAAACTTAACTTTTTTAACTAAACTTAACTAAAAAATTTGTAAGATAAAGCGTTGACATTTTTGAAAAAAGTTAAAGAGTACATCAAATCGAGAATCTGCTTTAACTAGAACATTTCTCTCAAAGTTTGTATGTTAGTTATTTTAACATTGATTTAGTCAAATTCTTAAAACCCGGCCCTGCTTTGTAGGTCGATCCCCTAACAGTCCAGTTTAAAAGTCAACTAATGAATACATGTACTTAATGATACAACATATTATTTTATTTTTCTCTTGCCTGAGGCATTCTTCACTTAATGGGAAGGATAAAATTTTTCCGCCCATAAAAACTGCGGGATATGTGTCTAGGATATCAATCAAATAATAGACAAAAAAAAACCAGCCCCAAATTCGGAATGTTTATTTTGTTTCGCTACATTTAATTATGGATTAGACATATGTTTATTCGCATACGACTCGGAGCAGTAGTAATGTAAGTAGTAGCCTAAGAACAGATTAGTTTATTCCTGATTGTTTCTACTCTCGAACAGATGGCGCTTTGAACTGTAGAAAGCGTGTTTGCTTGGATATTAGACGTCTTTGGATGTTGGTAAAGGAACAAGGATTATTAAACTAAACAGGAAAATGGTATTGCACATGACAAACAAAAAGGGATGTACTTAGTTTTTATGCAAAACATTCCATCCACTAGATACTCGATTGATATTATTATTATCACTTGATAGATTCCTCACGATGTTTGTATAATAAATAGCGTCGTTAAAATGTAAACCTAAACCAATAAATTTATCCCGGTTCGTTCTGATAGGGGTGTAAAACGTCAGCAGTGTCAGTCCGAATCTTGATATTGTTACCCTTCTATATTTATACTCCAAGATATCCTGTAACGAATGGTCTGAATCAAATATACCGCACTTAATCTTGTTGCGGTTTAGAGGATGTGTAAACTGGGGAAGGGACAGATGTAACATTTTTAAGTCCTAAAAGGGACAAGGGAACTCGGAAAGTATTGGTAAACACACCGCACATACCGCAGATTTGTTACCAGGCAGCTATTCGTATTAGATACATAGATATATTAGGTGTGGGATAGGGATATCGTTTAAACAAGGATCAGAACATTGCTTTGTACTTTCCAAACGTATGGGGGTGGTATCTCGTAATAATACATGCATTTGTAACAAAAGGCGGGACGCGGGGTAGTTTATTTGTTAGTTCTCGGAACGGATGAGCCAAATCAGACAGTAAAATATTTCAGTCAACAATAATTATTGAAAAGTTAAGGGTTTTCAAGTAGGTTTATCGTCGCCACAAAGTCGTCAAGAGATTAGTGCCTCTAGTCACCGGGAGTAATAAATTTGCATAAAATGACCTTTGAGTATTGTATGAACCGCAAAGACTTTTTTGCAAAATAAATAAAAACCCTTAAAAAATTTATCCGACTATTGTTAATTCTCAAACCAAATATGTTGTTAGCTGAAACAAACTAGCAGATATATGTACTATTCTTTAATCGTGACTGCTTTAAACTTTTGGAAACCACGGATCTAGATGCAATAAATTGACGTATACATTTACAAATATAATTTCAGTCATTATCGACTTCTTTATAATCCAGAATCAAGGCTTCCAAATTCTCCTTGGCGTCTTGAAACTCTCCCTCTTCCATCCCCTCACCCACGTAGTGGTGGACAAAGGCCCTTTTCGAATACATCAATTTGAACTTCCTCAGCAGTCGTTCCCAAGCTTCCCTGATGGCGGTACTGTTGGAGAGCATCGTCACAGCTCGTCTCACGGCTGCTAAGTCACCCCCTGGGACGGTGGTGGGAGGTTGGTAGTTGATGCCAATTTTAAACCCTGTTGGACACCAGTCAACGAATGATATAGAACGCTTACTCTTGATGTTCATAATGGCATTGTTTATATCCGTTGGGGTGACGTCTCCACGGTACAGCAAACAACACGACATGTATTTACCTAAAAAGTATACTTAAATAATGTTATCTTGTTTTGATGGGGGGGACTTACCATGTCTGGGATCACATTTCACCATTTGTTGAGCTGGCTCAAAGCAGGAGTTAGTAAGTTGGGCCACCGATAGCTGCTCGTGATAAGCTTTGGAGGCAGGCACAAAAGGCGCGTAGGTTATCAGAGGGAAGTGTATTCGAGGGTAAGGCACGAGATTGGTTTGGAATTCCGCTAGGTCCACGTTTACGGCGCCCTCAAACCTCAAAGAAGCGGTAACGGCGGAAACCACCTGCCCAAGGAGTCTGTTGAGGTTGGTGTAGGTAGGACGAGGGGTATCCAAGTTCCTCAAGAGGATATCGTAAACAGCTTCGTTGTCCATGACGAAACATACGTCTTCGTTTTCGATGCAACTGTTCGTTGTTAGAACCGCGTTGTAGGGTTCTACTATTATAGGGGAGATTCTTGGTGAAGGATACACAGCGAATTCGAGGATGCTTATTTTCTTGTAGTCCGTGCTGAGCCTTTCAAGGAAGAGACTGGTGAAACCGGAGCCAGTCCCGCCACCGAAAGCTTTGAAGAGAATGAACCCTTGCAAGCTGTGACAAGCGTCTGCTACAAGCCTCGTTCTGTCTAGAGCTAGATCTATCATTTCTGTACCTATTCCGTACATACCTCTGGCGTAGTTATTAGCCGCGTCTTCCTTTCCATTTAGCAGTTGGTCGGGATGGAATAAACGGCGGTAATAACCAGTGCGGATTTCGTCTATGACTGTGGGTTCCAGGTCGATCATCACCACTCTAGGGACAGCTTGCCCTACACCGGAAATGCTGAAGAACGGACTGTAACTGTCGTCCGATCTGACGCTCTCGACGAGGGTGCCGTCGGTTCGGATTCCATGCTCCAGGCAGTACAACTCCCAGCATGCGTTAGCTATTTGAACTCCTGCTTGTCCGATGTGTATCTGAATAATTTCTCTGCTAGGCATTTTTTTTTTGGTACCGTATCGTTCAAATCATTTTATTTCTTCACTTAGAATTTTAATTTTCATGATAATTTCTTATGAGTGAATCATGGTGATGTAGAGATGTTACTTTTGACAACTGGTGATTTTTGGCGATGCCTGACAGGTACGTCAGGTCTAATAGGTTATTGAAAGACATGGCTGACAGTTTGAATTGCAGTTCTTGTGATCGTGTCAAATGACAGCTTTACGTGATTTTCAGTGTAAACCTGTTTGGGCAGTTGCAAGAATTGTTGGGGTAGAAACAACTCGTTTTAAGAAGAAAACGTAAAAATAATGCAGGAACGGTGAAACTTTTGATTTTCTACTCGCGGATTCTTAAATTTTCCTTCTGTAACGATTTTATTTTAATTTTCTATATTTTATTATCGTTAAATTAACACAGTGGTAAAAATTGGTCGTGAGATGGTTGCGACCAAAATGTTCCTAAAACTACTTATGCTTCTATAAGTGGAATACTGACATTTATATTTAATAATATTTAACAATTTTATTTAATATACCTAATTTTATGATATTGAACCAAGTATGGGTATGGAATAATCAGGTATGAGTTTTATCAATATTAATGTTTCACATAATTCATTTTAACGTAAAGCATTGCTGTAATTACATTAATTACATGGGTAAATTATTAAAATGTGAATCGATAGTTTTAATTTTGGTCCCCTTTAATGAAACGATTTGAATATAATAATTCGAAACCACCTATAATGATTAATTTTGTATAAATAATATTCCAATTTAGTGATTTGTACTGGTTTAGGCACCACACAAATCAAGAACAAAGTTAATTTCGCCCAATTACCCAATTATTAATATTTCAATTATGGTCATAGTTTTACAAAAGTAAATTCCTGGCAAGCACCTTGCCGTTTTCGCAAAAATTATATAATTTCTATCTCTAGCTGTACCTCCGCTCATCAGAGAGAAAGCTATTACACATCTTTTTATGGGGCAAACGGAAAACTCGTGCCACCTCTGGGCGAGAAAACGTACAAAGGAAGATTTAATTTGGGAAGTCCTTTATTGTATCCAAGAACATAAAGTAAATAAGGTAGTAATTTGATGTTCCTGTGTAATGTGGCGATGATGTCGTCACTTCCAGTTCCCATTCTCGCCGCTGCAACATCCCGACGCGGCTCCGCACGCTTCCTTTTCTATTTCCTCTTCCCATCCGTTACCTGGCTTGGAACCAGGGACGTCTCGTGATAATACAGTGTGTTCCCGAATGGACCTAATAGGATTATAGGATATTAAAAGGATCTATGACAATAAAAATATTTTATTACATGAATCGTTCAAATGGTCATTTTTGATGAAGAAATCGCAAAGTGTTATGAAATTAGAGGGTAGGAATTGGAGATAGGGGTGAAAATACACCCCTTTCAGTTTTTTAATTGTATCTCGAAAACGAAGCAAAATTTCGCTATAGTTCATAGGAAAAATTATTTAGGAAATTGAATTTGAATGGTTTATTTACAAAATATAAAAGGAAAATTTTATGCAAAAAATCGTTAATAATAGTTCAGGCGGTACTTGTTTCGGGTTGGGTAAAACGCATATGATCGGAGATTTTTGCTTTAACGGCTTCTAAATAACATCAGAAATGATAATTTTTCTATGCAAATAAAAAAAAACGTGGGCTTAATTGTTATTACAAAAAAGTATAAAAAATAAAAAAAAATCATTTTTTTCTTGTATTTCTCGTCGACAACTTAGCAACTATTCATGTTAGACAAAAATGGAAGAGGAAAAAAGTTTTGTAATTAAATTTTGAACAAGATAGAGTTAGTTGCAATTCGAAAAAATAATTATTGTTGTTGCAAAAATCGGAAAAATCATTTAAAAAATTGCACAAAATGCTAGTTTATTTGTAAATTTTTTTCAGACACTTGAATAATACCTAAGATCTTCATACTTTTTCCAATTAAACTTCTTAGTGCATAGAACCAAATCTCACCCAGTTCGGTTTGATAGTTTTTACATAATAATTGTTTAATTTTTTTAATTTTTTTTATTTTTTTTATTTTATTAAAGAATTTTCAAAATCAAATTTCTAAAAATCTAAAGCCTTTGAATACTTTCGAATAATTTCGCCACAAAAAGAAGAGCTCTCAAGCTTTAAAATGCTTTTTGAAAAATTCAAATCGGACGATTAGGTGAGCCGTGGTGATTGTTTAAACATTTCCGCAATTTTCACGCTTATAAACAATTGCAATAATTTAAAGTTTTTTAATTTTTTTTTTTATTTTAAAATATGGTTTGAAAGTACTCGGTAAGGAGAGTATTTAAAAAAAAACCTGATGATCCGCCCATTATTTTCGGAGTTATAGCCCGTTAAAGTTAACCCTTATTTACAGCAAAACTATAAGGGCTGTTTTTTGAAAATTTTCAAAATTTGCAATCACGGGCGTCCCATTTAAAATGTCACTCAAAGATATTCAAAACCGCGTGAAATCAATGAGGTATCAGTGGTGGGGGGAGCAAACACACAGCGACTCCGATCTGAATTCTCGAATTCAAAATTGCGACACTCGGAAAAATTTCACTTATCTCAGCGTCTAATGGACCAATTTCTATGATTTTTTTCAAGTCGATGTCTCGCAACTAAAAAATTCAATTATCATATTTTCAACTACATTTTATTATTAATTATTGGACTTTTGACATGCCGATAAACAGTTACTTTAAAAAATGATTAATTTATTATGTTTATTTATTTACTATGTTAATTTTTCACGACCAAAATTTTTGCATGTTGCACCATGTTGGTATTAATTAAATATCCAAAATATTCTTATACTTTTTTTTATAAATAAAAAAATAATTTTAGATAAATATTTTAAAAGTAAACGAAAAAATTATAATTATAATTATTCACAATTTATGTGAGTAATAATTTTTGAAAGACAGAAATTTATCGTACAACTAAAAATTAATACCAATTTTCAGTTGTTTATTTAAATAATTATTGTTTAAACAATTTTATAATATTTAAACAAACTTACTAGTTTTACCAAAAATTTGAAAAGAACATAAAATTATTGCCATTGTTTCTAAGCGTGAAAATTGCGAAAATGTTTAAACAATCACCACGGCTCCTAATCGTCCGATTTGAATTTTTCAAAAAGCATTTTAAAGCTTGAGAGCTCTTCTTTTTGTGGTGAAATTTTCAAGTATTCAAAGGCTTTAGATTTTTAGAAATTTGATTTTGAAAATTTTTTAATTTAAAAAAAAATAAAAAAAAATTAAACAATTATTATGTAAAAACTATCGAACCGAATTGGATGAAATTTGGTGTGATAATTCTATGCACTAAGAAGTTTAATTGGGAAAAGTATGAAGATCCTAGGTATTATTCAAGTGTCTGAAAAACATTGACAAATAAACTAGCATTTTTTGCAATTTTTTAAATGATTTTTCCGATTTTTGCAACAACAATAATTATTTTTTCGAATTGCAACTAACTCTATCTTGTTCAAAATTTAATTACAAAACTTTTTTTCCTCTTCCATTTTTGTCTAAAATGAATAGTTGCTAAGTTGTCGACGAGAAATCCAAGAAAAAAATGATTTTGTTTTGTTATTTTTTTATACTTTTTTGTAATAACAATTAAGCCCACGTTTTTTTTTATTTGCATAGAAAAATTATCATTTCTGATGTTATTTAGAAGCCGTTAAAGCAAAAATCTCCGATCATATGCGTTTTACCCCTTTGTAAGACAGATACCGCCTGGATTATAAACAATTTGAAAAAAAAGCAAAAATTTCGATTTTTTGTTTTTTTTTTACTTTTTGAAATTTCGGTATAGTTCATAGGAAAAATTTTGTAGAGAATTGAATTTCCCATCGAAATGGCTTATTTAAAAGAAAAATTTTATGCAAAAAATCGTTAATAAACAATTTAAAAAAAAGAAAAAAAATAAGATTTTTTTATTTTTCTACTTTTTTTTACTCTAATTTTTTTTAGTAGAAGTAGGCAAAGAAATTTGCTGTATAATAAAACTAGATGAGATTTCCTTCAAAATGAGGCGTTTTCAAAAGTTTTTGGACTAATATTGACTGAGTTATAACCGGTCAAATAAAAAAATCTTATTTTTTGCTTTTTTTAAAATTGTTTATTAACTATCTTTTGTATAAAATTTTTCTTTTAAATTTTTTAAATGAGCCACTTCGATGGGAAATTCAGTTCTCTACAAAATTTTTCCTATGAACTATACCGAAAATTTGCTTCGTTTTCGAGCTGCAATTAAAAAAACTTAAAGGAGTGCATTTTCACCCCTATCTCCAATTTCCACCCTCTAATTTAATAACACTCCGCGGTTTTTTTTTATCTAAAATGACCCTTTGATTCATGCAATAAAATTGCTTAAACGTTATAGTTCATTTTAACCCTGTTTTTTTTATATAATCAATAGTCTATAACTATACTTGTAATTTTCCTTATTTCGCATTTTAAGAGAAAAAGTCATTCTTCATAAAAAATTTTGCTTATCGTAAAAAGCCATTAGCCATACTCAGCCATAATATACAGAGTGGTTAACAAATAAGGAAACGTGAATTTGTGTCAAGAGTAAAGTATTAGTTTTTTGAGAGGAATTTAAAAATGTTACTGAAATGAGTTGTTTCTAATATTAATAGTACTTAGTCCAGACATGAAAGTTGATATTTTTGCGAGAATTATGATTAAAATAATGTTATAAATTCAACGAATACAATTGTACTATTAGAACGAAGACATGAATGCTGGTAAGAATGAATGGAAGTGGGGAAAAGTACGGCAAGCCGACTCAAGATAAAGCCATAAGTCTGCATAAAACAACAAAACACTAATGGAAGTGAACTGTTGTGGATAACGTACATGTAATAAAATGTCATATCTTCCAGATACGACGTTAAGATCAAATTTAAAACCAATCTACAAATATTATTCACCATTTGACGATTGTAAATTGGTGTTTG